GAATCAGCTTCTATTATTTTGACAAGATCAACATTGACTTCTTTAATTACATTAGTAACACTCGCTAAAGCTATAATTCGGAGAATTAGATATAATTTCTTATGGGCATATATTTATAATTCGTTAGCTATACCTATTGCTGCTGGCGTCTTCTTTCCTATATTTAAAATTGGTCTTAGACCTGAAATTGCTAGTTTATCTATGGCAGTTAGTTCAATTAGTGTGGTTTTAAGTAGTTTATGGCTAAAGAGATTCAAAGAACCAAAATATTAAATTAATTGTAATAGTAAACTTTATTATAATCTTATACATTTAATCGTCAGAAATCGTAAACCTCATAATAAAATTCGTTAAGGGGTTTAACAATAATTTCGGAAATAAAATAATAAATAATATAATATATTTAATCTAATCTAAAGATATCACGTAATTTCGATTGTAATTTCCTCATATTAATAAAGGCAATTTACGTGACAAATTATATTAAACATACTCTGTAAAGAATTGAGATACTTCCTTAGGTAATACTTCGAAACAATTCGAAAAATTTTCAATCAATTCAAAATTATAGACGTGGGAATATTTGAATATGAAAAAAAAATTTGTTATTACATAAAACCATAACGTGACTCAATTATTAAATCATATGGCAAAAATGCCTCAAAAAAAAATAACCTTTTTAATGATACCTTTATTTGGTAAGTCAAATCAGCAAAATTACCTCAATACAAAAATGATGTAATTTTTGCTTTTTTGTCAACACGGTCAGTATACGTATAAATAGATAAATCCTACGACAAAAAAAAAAAAAAAAATTCCCAGATAATTATACATCCAAATGGTCGATCCTGAAAATTTAAATCAAAAAATCTCCAAGGCAAGAATATCTTTGTCTGGTTTAACGTGTGCTAGTTGCGTACGATCTATTGAAGGCGCATTAAGAAAACTTCCTGGTTTAACTCCTTCAATTAACGTAAATTTATTAACGAGTAATGCAATACTTAACTTTGACGAAAATAAAATAAGCATTGAACGAATTAAACAAGCTATCTTGGACGTTGGTTATGACGTTGAAGATATTAAAGTTGAAACAGAATCGCTTCCCATAACACAAAGAGCCATCAACATAAATTCAAATAAAAACAATGAGTATAAAATTCCTTTTGAAAACTTAGATTCTTCAACTCAAGACAAGAATTCAATTCGCGAGGCAACAACAAAATTAATTGTTGGTGGTATGACGTGTGCCTCTTGTGTAAACACCATTCAGTATTCTCTTGAATCATTGCCAGGTGTAGAATACGCTCATATTAATTTGCTTACTAACGAGGCGACTATCAAACACGATTTAAATCTAGTCGGAATACGCGATCTTATTAAAAAGGTTGAAGATATTGGATATGAGGCGGATCTATTCAAGAAGAATCAAGCTAATAATGGAAATTCAATTCGACATCGTGCAGAAAAAGAACAAAATCTTTATCGTAATCGATTCCTTTGTTCTTTGCTTTTCGCTATTCCAACGTTAATTATTGAAATGATTTTTAAAATGATACTGTCACGTGATAATCTTATCAAAGAAACTTTAATGCATCAATTGATTCCTGGACTTGAAATTGGAACTTTAATTTTATTCATTTTCGCAACTCCTGTTCAATTTATTCTTGGCTATCCCTTTTATATAAAGGGATTTCGTTCTATTTGGTATTCTCGTCAAGCAAATATGGATACTTTGGTTGCAATTGGGACAACTGTTGCATACTTTAGTTCTATTTTGAACGTTATAATTCCAATAGTTCATAGAGATAACAATCCAGGTCATCAATTTTTTGAGACTTCAATATTTCTTATCACTTTTATTTGGCTTGGAAGATGGATGGAAGCTAAAGTAAAAGGCAAAACTTTTGAAACTATAACCAAACTTATGGAATTGCAACCAGAAAAGGCGACTATTATCTCAATTGGATATGACGATAATGATCATGAAGACATTCTTGAAAAGGAAATTGATTTAGATCTTGTCCAAGGTATTCATAAGAAATTCTAATTCATGAAAAATTTTTTTTCTAGGAAAAATTCTTAAGCTTGCAACTTTATTTTAAAATAGTTGGAGATATACTCAAAGTGAATCCTGGAGCAAGGATTCCATGTGATGGCAAAATTTTCAACGGTTTTACATCCCTGGACGAATCAATGTTAACGGGCGAATCTATACCTGTGACGAAATATGTTGGTGACGAAGTGATAAGTGCTACAGTTAATTTATCATCAATGATTTGGATAAAAGCAACACGCGTGGGTTCGGATACTACGCTTTC